TTATGCGATTATTATTTGTATTATCTCTCTAATCTCTGCATTTATGCGGTTATTATATGGTCCTCCTAAGTGGCCGGTTCTGTTTGTTTTATAGTCATGTCATCGACCAAATCGTATTCCTTTCGTAATCGTTGGTGTAGTGATATCAGGTTATATCACAATTGATCACTAATGTGAAATTTAAAACACAAAAATTGATAACTAATCTACCATATCCAAGATCATGGATTGCTAGATATAAAGATCTACGGCTTAAAACGTTTTGATTTGATGTTATTCTCAACTAAGAATTTTGTAGTCATGTTATCTAATTAAGCTTTTGGCACAAGGAATCAAGAAACTAAACATATCCCATGATTGTGAATATTTCAAAACACACACTAAAAATCAAAAACAAAAACAAAACAAAAGTCTTTCACTTTAACCACCGGAGATCAGTCGTAGAACAAGGCGAGATTTTTCCGGCGAACCCATCACCGTAACAACAAGAGTAATCAGATTCATGATCTCCCCAAAGACAACCATTATAAGCACTCTTGAAACTCGGACTCCTCAAACTGTCTTCCTCCGCATAACACAACCGCTTCTTCACCGTTCCAACTGGTCTCCGCCGTGGCGTGCTCTGAGTCCGAGCCTTAGCCTTCGCCGACTCCGTCGCCGTCATGTAATTAGGCTGAACCATCGAAGAAGGCGAAGAAGAACACGGTATTCTCGGACTAGCTGATCTCACCCCGAAGGTTCTCGTGGCTCTGCACGACGGTGGAGTCGCTGGATATGATCTGTCAAGATTCTTGATCGGATCTTTTGTGATTGAATCGTCCCATTGTTTAGTAGCCATCCATTGATCAAGCCATTTTGTTCTCTCTAGTAGCTCCCTATCGTCGCCGACTGATTGATTCCGGTAAGACCGACTCCGAATCTTTCACACAAAACGACAAAAAATAAAAACGTTAGTAGTATTATGAAAGTAGATTTTTTTTGTCGGCATTATGAAAATAGATTAAATTGTATATTTTGATATTTTTGGATCATTCACGAATTAGTGTAAATAATTTTAAAGACTTAACTTGACCCCAAAAAAGTCTAGATTTTTATCTATTATGAAAATAGATTAAAATTGTATATGTTAAAAAAAAAAAATTTCCTAAATCAACTAGTGCAAATAAGTTTTCAAGTCTAATTAAACTAGAATTCACCAAAAAAAAAGTCTAATTAAACTAGACCCCAAAAAAAGAAGTTTAAGAAAATAATAAACTTGACCCCAAAAATAAAGTCTAAACTTTAAAATATTTAAAGTCCATAATAAGCCGTATAAACTCAACTCTAAATCTTAAATTCCATAACGCAAAAAATAAACAAAATGATGAATTTCACCAATTATCCCTTTAAAAAAATAATAATTTATTTAACAAAAAATCCAATAATTAATATTTAAATACCTGATTGGAGAGAGCAAGTGCTTGAGCTTTCTCTCGCATAATAGCAATCTCTAATCTCCTCTGCAAAATCGATTCGGTTTCTTCGGAGTTAAATTCATTGGTGCATCTACTCATGTCCCTCGACTGCAAATTCAGACCATTTATTGTCTTAGGATCACATGAAACAATTAAAGAAGGCTTTTTATTTAAAAAAACAAAAAAAAATCTCTAACCAAAGATCTACGGCTACGGATGTCTTGAAGATATGGTTTCCTTTCCCCAAAACCGTTAGATTCAGCGAACATTGAGTTACGTCTTGCTTCAATGTTATAACAATTCGTTGTTGGTGATGATGATAAGACTCTTGAACGTTGTTGTTGTTGTTGTTGTTGATGATGATCATTAAGCACTTGATCTTGAACTCGAACCAAAGCCTTGATGCATCTTAAAGTGAGTTTAGCTTGGTTCCTAACATTATTACCTCTCACTAATGCTTGTAACTTCACTATCCCTCTCAATGCTCGTAAAGCCTTCTTCGCCTTTTAAAATTAGATGCAAAAAAATTTAGACACTAACAAATTACAAACATCAAAGTTTAAATATTTAAACGATAAACACAAGATTTTGACAAAAAAAACTTTAGAATCAATAATCCAATGAACACCTAATTAAAATACACAAAACAATAACACATGAGTTTGTTTACTTACGAGGTAACCTCTGAAAGCTGTCTGAATAATAATGGCAGCCCAATGACGTCTTATAAAATCTGGAGTTGCCGTTAGCTTAACGATCTCGGCGACCGCTTTATCCACGGCGGAGATAGTCACCGCCGGTTTGTCCTCCTCTTCTGTCTTCGCCGCAGGTATCGTGCCGGTTACAGAGTTAGTGGTTGGGAGTTTGGTTTTTCGAAAAATCCATCCTTTCTTTTCTTTTTTCTGCAATAAACACAAAAGATCGAAACTTTGGAGTTAAATCTCAAGACCCACGAATCTAAAACATTATTTAAGTGGGTAAAATTAAATAGACCTTATTATAATGATCAGTTTCTTTGCGGTGAGTCTTCTTGTCGGAATCTTTAGTCGGTGACCAGAGAATCTTCTTTACGGCCGTGAACCACGACGTTCCGTTCTTCTTAGCCATCTTAAGAGTTAACGAACCTGAGAGAAAGAAAGGTCGAACTCAGCTGCTACTAGTGAGGAGTTGATGCTCATGTATGTAACTAAACTAAACTACTACGTACAACACGAGACTGAGGAAGAATACATCAACGTAAATATATATATACACGACAGAGACGATAACTATTTATTTTGTCGCACTTATGAAATTAGTATAAAGGGATATTATATTAAAAGTTTAGTTAAAATCAAGAATTTAAGGGTTCTCTCTATCTCTCACTCACTCTCTTGTAGTCTTGTGCATGGTTTTTTTTTTCATTTAAAATGGTTTTCACTTTCTCACCTAAGAACCTGAGCAAAAAGTAGAAAATATTAACAGCTGTTGATGAATCAATAATGCATAACGGTAAAACAAAAATAACTAAATTAAGAATAGACTAAAATATTTGGTGATGATGATTATATACAAACGAGTGGGCATCAGAAATGTTGCAGCTTTTTTGTTATTTTGATATTAAAAGGCAAGTACACTTGCACAGATGTTACATGGGATTATTAAATGTATAAAACAATTTAATTGTATAATAGTAAATGAAGGATTTGACGGTCCAAGATGACATTGTAAACATTTTCAAGGAGAAGATAGCCACAGACTTTAATGCCTCTCGTTGCACCAAGAATCCAAAGTTCCCAAATAATTTTTTATTGGTATTTTCTTGTAATTGTTTTCCTTCTTTGGGTAAATTGTAATTCAGCTCTTTCATTGGCGTCACGTGTTACACAATATAGATTCCAGTGATTACATTTCTCGTAAATTACAAAATACAAAAGAAAATTTTAAATAATTCTGATATATACAATTTGGCCTGAGAGAATATAGTCTTCAAGAACTGTTATGTTGGATTAGAAATCTTATAGCAGTGACTAGAGATCTTAAAACAGACTCTATTTTTTTATACGATATGAAACCAAACTGTTTAAAGTCACAATATTGATTCATTACCATCAAACTGTTTACATTAAACCAAACTTTTAATTCACCAGTTAGAAATTTTTTTCTCGTTCCCTACCAACTGCTAATTTGGATTTAGAGTTAGGGTGGTGATATTATGCGTAACAGAAATGTCACAGACGTAATCATAAACTGATTTCATTATTCAAAACTCCTAAATATAGTACAGTATATAAGATCATAATGCATACATGCATGATAGATGCGAATGAGATGCTACTAAAAACAAGGCGTGCTGATAAAGGACGACAAGACCTCGAAGACTACAAAATAATGGTTTTGGCCAAAATACAACTTTGAAACTGAGATTCTTTATATTTTCGTATCGAGAAAAGGTCTCATGAGGGAGTTTGCTTGGACTAGTCAAAACCTCCTTGAGTTAATTTACCGATAAGATTCTAATTCTTTTGAATGTAATTAAATATTTGATTTTTGGCTTAAAGACGTACCCCTCAAATTTGTTTCTCATGTAATGGTAATTAAAATTGAGAAACCTAATAATGATCTAAATCATGCAGTCCATATTAGTATGTTTAATAATTAATATGGATAATATCAATGAAATTTCGAGATTATTCTCCTAATGAGGAATATTTTGTCGCTTGTGTTAGGAGGAATTAGTAGGTGAGATTTAGCAAGAATTATGTTAACTAGAAAATAGGGACTAGAGTGCAAGATGAGCCCATGTGAGTTAGTTGTCTATAAATTTCATAAAGTGATCAATAATAAATATAAAATAATTTAGTTGATTAATTTTTTGTTTGCTTTGCTACTTAGGTAGTATTTGTTCAATTATTACTGACAATTTGTTTAATTAGTACGATTAGGGTACACCAATAACCTCAGGGCAATAAAGTCATTAAACATTGACCACAATAACCACATATTGGGACCTCCTGAATAAGGCCTGAGCCAATAGTGCATTATCCTACCCTCTGCACCTATCAATAATTGTTGTTGTTTTCTTCATAATTATCCCCTTCATAAATATTTCACTTTCTAATTTAAGACACTAAAATACTACAGTGTATAACACTTATAGGTGTGGCTTGTATACCACTAATTGTCCATAAATTGTTTGATTGGGCTTAGGCTTTACTTGGCTCACTATCTCACTAATTTTAAAAGAGGATGAGATAAAACGGCTAATAAGAAGACAAGACAATTACGAATGAGATCATTGACAATATCAATATGCATTCAAGAACTTCAAGAGGTCCAATATTCTTGGCTTTCAATTAGTTATAACTTATAAGCATAAGAAAGGCATACGATCCTTCAGACCTAATTACTCGTATTATATCATAGGTCATGTTTTGTGTATGTATATATGGACCCTATTTTAATAGCAAAAACCTATATTTTTAGGCCTAAAGTATGAAATCAATTTCTTTGTTCAGTAGTTTTCTTAGGGTTTTAAGGCACCTAGTATGAAGTCACTTATGTTAATATGTTTGTGCTCTGTGCATAAACACTTTTGGCCCATGCTCGAAACCGAGCATGCATTCCTTAGTGAGCACAATCCATACAAAATCTTTAACTTCAAAAAAGTATCCTCTAAATGCCGCAATCACCCGCAACACCCTTCACTTAAGAGGTTAAAGTGCTGAATGGTTATCTTTGCGGGTAGTGATGTTTCACATCAATTATGAAAATTATTTTGTACTATTTCATATGGTTTGGACCTGCTACTTTTCGCAAACGTTTGCAATAGCGAGCAAATTGTAGGTGGTTGAAAAAATATTATCTTGAATATTAGTAAAAGTCTACTAAAAAGAGAGAATAATATTAGTAAAAATCTACTATAAAGGTAAAACAAAATTTTGGTTTCCTCTCTATCAAATATGTGTGTATAAACAACTATCCTAAATCTCTTTAAACATATACTTTTATAATTAGTTGTTCTATACGTTATTTACAATAAAATTTGAATTTGGAATTTATAATATAATATAATGTTTAGTTTCTTATAGACATCATATATTATTGTAACCACTATCAACCAGTCATCTATGTCTTGAAAACAGACTCATTTTTAACTATTATACAAGTCATATAAATTGTTCAATAACAATCGAAACAACAACAGAACTCCCATACCATTACTTTAAAACCATTCAAACACTTATACTTTAACGTTGGTTTTAGAATGATATCACATAGGGTATTCGCTATGCTTCTTGTTTCTTTCCCTCTATTTCTGTGTAATATTTGCATCTTTTGTTAGTTAATGGTTGTTTAATCTCTTTTAGAAACTCTTCTGAGTTCATCAATGGAAAATCGTTAGCAAAAAAAAAAAAAAAACTGAAATAGAGAGACTCGTCATTATTGATTCGAGTCAAACTAAACTTGTTACAGACTTACATGTGACTGAGGGATACTAAAAACTTTCATTTTCTAAGTTTAGCGCCTAAAACGTGAATGTGTAGGGTCCATGTCCAAATTTAAAAAACGGCCATTATATTATATGGTTTTAATATTTTATAAATCCATTTTGAATCTTAGAGCTACAAGAAAATGTCACAAAAAATGTTTTCATTAAGAAAAAATGCCTTCTGAAATCACTTTATTTCAGCTCAAATAAAGAAAAGAAACATTACTTTAATTTCTAGCTCACAACTCAAATCATCAATTTATATATCAAGCTTTTAACCAATTTCTATTACTAAAGGATTTTTTATTATATATATTTTTTTCATCCCCATAGATCATGTATAATCAACTGTATGACACTTAGAAAAAATCATATACCTCTCATGTATTTTTTAAAAGCATCCTAATCTATAGCTAGCTATTTTAGTCTTATAAGTTATTCCCTATTTCAAAATAGAAGTCATATAAGTTCAACAAAATGTGTAGTATTTTATATGAAACATTTTTTTATCAATATATAAATATATGAAACTATTGAAGTGAAATAATAGATAGTGAAACCTTTATTTCTTCTTCAATCAATCACCATCTTTAACTTTACTTTTGACAACAAACCTAAAAGAGTAACAAAAGCCACTAAACCAAAAAAAAAAACAAACAAAAGACCCAATTTTTTTTCTATTTTTAAGAGTTTTGTCTTGCTCTCTTACTCGACCGTTCCTCCCAATAAATTTCAAATTATAAATTTTTCGAAACCTCCAAAAAAAGGAATTTCCCGGCGTCGAAATCGAGAGAAAACAAAAATCCAATCTTTTCCGGTGATAATGGGTTGCGTCTCATCGAACCTCCTGAATCACGACGACGATTTCCCTCAGATCGGAGGTGGCGCCGCCTTTGGCCACCACATCGTCAAGCTTACCTCCACCACTTATGGTCTTCTCACTCTCGATCCTCCTCCTCCTCCATCTTCTCCTCCTATGACGCCGCCTGAGAAATTCACCGTCGACGGCACGGAGTCAAATTCGCTGTGGTCCGAGCCAAGGCTAATTAAGTCTGAGCCGGAGGTTATCAACTCCTGGGAGTTAATGTCTGGTCTCGACGGCGAGAGTTTCCGATTCACCCCTCTCCCAAAGACTCCGGTGAAGTACAAAGTCTTTGGCGGAGAAAACAAAGAGAATTCAGATCCAAATCGGAGAAACCCTAGAAAATCGTTGAACGACGGAGCTCTGAAACCGCTAGATCCGAAAGTCGAGCGGATTTGTCTTCCCGGAGAAGAGAATTCGGATCCCAATCGGATAAACCCTAGAAAATCCTACGCTCTGGAATCGCAAGATCAGAAAATCGCGGAGAAATACGAGAGGATTTGTCCACCAGGAGGAGATCATCGCGTGGTGATCTACACAACGTCGTTGCGCGGCGTGCGTCGGACATTCGAGGCGTGTAACGCCGTGAGAGCGGCGGTGGAGAGTTTCGGAGTAGTGGTCTGCGAGAGAGACGTGTCGATGGACAGAGGATTCAGAGAAGAGCTCGCGAGTCTAATGGCGAAGAGGGTTAAGAAAGACGAGGAGGCTGCATTGCCGCCTAGGGTTTTCGTTAAAGGAAGGTACATTGGTGGAGCAGAGGAAGTGCTGAGATTAGTCGAGGAAGGTCTTTTCGGAGAGCTGATCCGTGGCCTGCCGAGAAAGAAAACGCACGGCGATGGAGACGGTGCTTGTGATGGATGTGGCGGGTTGTTTTTCTTGCCGTGTTTCCGATGTAACGGAAGCTGTAAAGTGGTGAAAGGATGGAGAAGCGAAGCTGTAGTTGTGAGGTGTACGGAGTGTAATGAGAACGGTCTTGTTCCATGTCCGATTTGCAGCTGAGAGAGATAGAAAAAGAGAGCTCTCTATGATTTCCTCTGTTTCGTTTCCTCTCTCTAAAAGCTATGACTGAAACAGAGCAAATCTTGTTCTAGCTGAGATAATTATGTGTTCCATTATGTATAACTCAATACAAAATACTTTTGTGTTCTATGATCTGAGATTTGCAGCTCTGTAATCTTGGTGAAATTCACAAAAACGAGTAATTCCAGCAAACCAAGAAAAATAGTCAACTTAGATCTAAGAAGTTCTGATCCCTCAATATTTTACTACAAAGACACCTCCTGGCAACTTTCTAAGTCAGATACAGAATCTGAAGTAGGCTTCTTGTTGGGTCTCTTTTTCTTCTGCGTTTTCTCCTTGTGAACTTGATTAGAAACTCTATCAGCGTTGGCAACGATCTTGGAGACGGTGAAACCGGAATCTTCAAAAGTGCGTGCTCGTTGTGGGAGCAACGAGTCACGAAGGAACACATCAATGCCTTCGTGAGTCCACACTCCTAATACGGCTTCTCCTTTGAGTCCTAAAGCAAACCAACCGAGACCAGATACAGCGATATCCACTGAACTCGTGTCCCAATTGCTCCCACTCACTCGGAACTCCTTTCTAACCCATTTCCCCATCTCTTCCACACGCTTCTCCCCAATCGGCGGCTTCATCAAGAATCAAAATGCACTTCAAAGGTTAAAACTTGTATCAAGGGTCCTAACTTTATCCGGAACACTAACTTCTTCAAGTAAATTACAATCTGATTATACCAAATTGGACAAAGTGTTCAACTACTTCAAGCCATATTTTCCACTGTATGAGAGAAGAAACATAGACATGGCTTTACCTGCAAACGAGAACCGAAATGTTCCTCGAGCGTTTTGTATGCATTCTCCTTCTTCCCCATGTGAAGTGGAACATGAGGAGACGCCCAAACTGTAACATAAATAGAATCTACAGATGATTCATCAATGTCAAGTCTCATTAGCCCACCAATATGAACCGTATAACCTTCCTGCAAGAAAAAATCCAGTGAACAAATCAGTCAATAACACAACACAATTCACTTTAGTTACAATTATAAAAAAGGATAATGAATATCAAACCAAACCTTGATCCTGTAAGTCCTAGGCTTAAGCTCCTTGCTGATATGAACAAGCCTCTGCTCCTCTCTCGTGAGCCTCGTCGTAATCTGATGAGGATTCAACAATCCAGGAGTATCAAACAGTTTCGCCTCAAAAGGCAAAACACCTTCGATCCTAACTATCCCCAATGTAGTTCCCGGCACCGGAGCCTCCGTCAAATGCCAAACTTTCCCGCCAAAAACCTTCCCCACGGCGTTAATCAGAGTGCTTTTCCCGGCGTTCTGCGACCCAACAGCCCAAACCTGCCCTCTCTTCCCGGCCATCGCCGCCACGTCCTCAACCAAATCCTTGATTCCCCAGTTCTTCAAAGGGCTAACGAAATGTAGCTTCGTGATCTTGCTTAAACCTCCTTCACGAGCTCTCTGTCTCACCCAATGCTCAAATTTCGTCGGAGATAACGAGCTCGGTAACAAATCGATCTTAGTCACCACGACGACGACTCTAGGGACGTTTCCTGATTTCCCTTCTTTCCACGCTGTGTTGTTCTCGTCGATTGTTCTCGACACGAGCTTCGCGACTCTCTTTGGGAAAGATCCGTCGAAATCCGAAGCGTCTACGACCATCAGAACGACGGTTCGAGCACCGGAAGCTGAACTTAGTCGTCTCCCAACTGTGTGATCGAAATCGAAATCCGGAAGAAGATTCTCCACCGTTGGATCCTTCACTTTCCCGTAATGTCTAAGTGAATGGCACCTTGCGCACACTAAGGGTCTTACATCGGATGATTCCTTATCGGCTTCATCGTCGTCTTTAGGGTTTAGATCGTCACAGTGATCTGGTTCAGCGATAAACCCTCGTTTGATTGAATCGATGAATTCGGGCTCCTGAGAGACGGGTACGAGACGACGAAGAATCGAATCGGTCTTCTGTTTCTCGGTCGATGGTCGAATGAAGAAACCTGGATGTTTCGGGTTTGTGTTCTGCATATGAACTCCGCAACCTGGGCAAATGGTGACGGAAGTGGCAGCATCGTAATTTCCATCTCGGTTTAGTGGAAGAGCCTTGGAAGAAGAAGAAGAAGAATAGAAACGCGAAGGGTATAGAAACGGCGATTTCGATCTAGTGTTGAAGTGATGGCGATTGAGAAATGAAGTAAGAAGAGTAACAGAAGGGTTTGTTTCGATCCATAAGGAAGATTTTAAGGAGGATAGTGAAAGGGTTAAGAAAGGTTTAAGCTTTGATGATGAAAGCTCTCTCGCTGCTTTCGCAAGCATTTCACTCCGGCGTGGTCAGGGACAGAGACGACGAATCAGATTCTGAGATTTAGGGTTTTACTTGATTTTTTCTCTGAGGAGAAAGACGAGCGTGATTGGGTTTGGGAAAATTTCGGAAATGTATCTGTAGTTTTCATGCTTTACATATAAGTACCTAAACTATTGTTTTAACTCCAAACTACACAGGTCGTAGGTGCCCGAGGCTCATTGTCTTTTAGCTTGTACGTTACCGAATTGCTTATTTGGTGGTTTTATTTTTTTTTATCTCGTTTTTACATTTTTGTACGCAGCCGTTTCCTCTAATCTGATTATCTTTCTCTCTCTCTCTTCTCAACCTATTTAGTTGTTTTGATGGCGGAAAACGGAGATAACTCCCAAATCATTCCTAAACCTAAGAACAATCCTGATATTTATTTCGAACGACTGCAACGAATTCTCCGCTAGATCCTTGGAATTCTCGCTAGCCCAAAACTAGATGTACCGGATTAGAAGATTCAGCAGCAATTTTGTACAATTTGAGCAACTTATTTGAGAGTGCATGCGCTGCAGCACGAAATTAGATGTTTCAAAAATCTCTCCCGTCCAGATTCCATCAAAATAATGATGGATGATGATTTTGATGTTGTTTCTGTGTCCAAAGCATTTGTAACGTGCTTGTTAGGTTCATCTGTGACATCCTAGTCGAAGTTCTCTAAAATTGTTGACAAAGAATTTGGTTGATGAAAAACAACGCGACAACACTGTATTCGATCTCAGAAAAATCAATAACGATCTTTGACTCGCCTTCCAATAATCACTCTCTCCACCAAAGTCCTCTAACGGCGATGGAAAATCGTATGACACAGAGTCTGTGGAGTTGCATCAAGAAGCCTATTACCATCAGGTTTAGGATGATGAGGAGAGGAACAAGTCATTGGTTTCTGGTTCCGGCAGTTCTGAGGTGTCGAAACAAGAAGTAAATAAAGCCATTGACGATGATGAGTTGAACGATGAGAATAGCGGGTCCAGTGGTGCTGTAGCCCGGATGTGTGGGACGACGTGCCGAAAACAAAGTGTTTGAAGTCGATCACCATTTAGTGAAATATGGTTAAGGAATAATCGGCATTAAAATTTGCATGTTTTATCGTAGTCTTTAAAAACTATAAAATATGATCATGATGGTTGTTTTAGGAACCCTTTGTTTGATCTTTTGGTCGTGGTCGGTTAATATTGGATCTTATGATGGTACTATTTGGGTTTAGAAGGTGTTGTTAACCCGATTAAGAAAAAAAAGTGATTTTGCCTATTCTATTAAAAATAAGAGCAAAGAAGATAAAATGTTAGAATTTTTGTTTATTAACTAAAAGGTTTAGAAATGTTAGGGGTTTTTATAGTTTTAGCAATCTAATTATACATTTTTGTTAAGAGTCTGTCAATTATAATAAACAAAATTATTAGTAAGTGTATTGTTTTAATAGTTCAATAATATGTATTTATTTTTTATCTACGTAGAAAATTAAACTATCAGGAAAAGATTAGGTGTGTAAGAGTTCAAAATAATTGTTTTTATTGAGTTATTTTTTTTTTTTTGCGGTTTTCTCTATTCTTAGCTTTTTTTCTTTTGCGGTTGTAGATCTTCTCGTCAGCATCTCGTGAGCAATATAGTTCTACATTTGTTGTTTTCTTATGACTTTTCTAATGGTTTCCAGAGCTTTACTATTTGGTTTAATATCTCATCATGTGTCTCCTGTGTATCAGATTTAGTTTTCAGAATTTTTTTTTTGTTTTTTTGTTTGCTTTGTGTATCATATTTCAACTTTGTATTCTACATTTCTTATATAACAGAAAATTTTCAGTGAATAAGAAGAAGTTTTTTTTTTTGTTGAACAAGTTAGAAAATGGTTTTGTTTCTAATGAATTCGAGATTTTGTTCTTTTGTGTTTATGGAAAGCATAAAAAATGTCAAAACGAATAGAGAGAAACTGCAAAAGCACCAAAGGTTCTCGAAAAGTGGCAAGTGTAGTGAAATTGGACACCACATACATATGTACTTGCAAAAGGCGAAACTATCCTTAGGAGTTTTTTTTGTTTTTCTTAACTTTATATGTTCGATTTGAGATGCTCAACTTTGACCAGGTTGACTTGTTTGATGATATAAATCTACACTAGATTCTAACCGCGTGCATCCGCACAGGAATATTTTTTATTGTTTAACGAATTTTGTAATATAATTTGTGTTTTTGAGTTTAGATATAATTATTTTTATAAATATATTTTTTAATAAGTGAAAATATTGATTTTTTTGTTTAGATATATTTTTCTAGTAATAAAATTAATTATGATTATAAAAATATAACTTTAACCCGTCCGCTAATATTAATTCAAAATGAACTATTATAAAAACATAATTCTAACTTTTCCGTTCATATTACCGTATAAGATAAATATTTGTTAAAAGTTTGAGATGTATTAACAGTATTATATAGCATTATAGTTTTCTAAAATTTAATCAACGAAGGGAGTGTACAACTGGTTTTTCAAAGCACATTTTAGTGCATGCAATAATTTTTAATTTTTTATGTTTTTATTTTGTATGAAAAATATATTTTCGATATACATGTATAATTAAAAATTAGTGATTTTAGTTACCAATATATTTTTAACCCGGTTTTTATATATATTTTTAGTTCTATAAATTTTTAAAAATAAATTTTTAATATTTAAATTATACATTTGAATTTTACCTATTATTTTATTATTAATTTGTAAATAAATCATAATCGTAAATATATTATATAAGCAACATATATATTATATCATTTACATCATTATAAATATTTTATATTTCAAATATGATCATTATTTTTCATATGTGAATTATTTTTTTTTTAAATTCTACATATTTTTGATAAAAAATGTTTAATAGTATAGAAAGTATTTAAATTAGAATCTTTAAATCAAATCTAAATTAATATCTGATTATTATTTAATCAAATCAAATCAAATCTAAATTACCTATATTTATGGAATTCTAAAAATATTTAAATTAATAATTAATTTTCGAAATTAAATATAAATAATTATTAAAATTAATTTTAAACACTTAGTACTAAATGTGCTTCTGTTTTAATATAATAGACTAGATTTAGATCTGTGCTGTGCACGAGAAATTTTTTGTTTTAAAGATTTCAAGTTTGGAGAGCATATACAATTTAAATTTGTATTTGTGTGTATGTTGATAGTTAGGTTATAAGAATGATTTTATATATCTGTCGCATTACTTGAATGTATATTAACTTGGTATGTTTTTTGTTATTTATAATTCAGGATAAATATTAATTAAATTTTCAATGTTGTCTACATAATATAAACATATATATAGTATTAGACGAATATATATACATATATCTATCGTAATGAGCAAACAGCTATAGAGAATAATGAAAGCAATCTATCTTATTAATAAATACTGAATTTGACATAATTTCATAGAATTAAAACGTTGACTACTTCACTTGGTCACCTTTGTAGCTAAACGACATGAATAGTTGAACCTCCAAACATAATTAAGTACTATATCCTTAGTCTTTAACCTCAATGTCATTGTTCTCGGTCTTATTGGATTTGAAGTACCTAAATAGATATATACAGATATGTTATTACTGGCATTTAGTAAAATATCAAATATTTATAGAGTACTTACTTTTCTTTGAACTTGTCAACTTCAACAATATGGAGATCAAAAAGAAATCTTGACATTCCTCTTGCATCAGAAACAGTCAATGCCCCTAAAACATATATTTTATGTATACTTAATATTTGATTAAACCATAATAACTATTGTAATCATGATTAAATGTTAATAAAATAGTTAGAAACATACCATTGTTGTAAGTTATACGCCAGTCTGTCAATACACATGTTATATTAGAACCACAGGCAGACCACCACTGTGATTGGAAATCATCAGCCAAGTTACCAAAAGCAACACAACTAATTTCAACATTCCTACAATTTATTAACAAAATATATTGTTATCTTAATAACATACAACTAAATAGGTAACGATTCAAATACTTACTTGATATTTCTCAACGTAAATCGTAGTCGACTATAGTATCTACGAAAATCACAATCTAGTCCGTAATCCTTAATCCTTGTAAGTCGTCCAACGTGGACACAGCACCAAGTAGATCTAGTATCACATAAAGCATCAAAAGATGTTTTAAATAATTTAAATTGAAATTCAATGATATTTATAAGACAAATATGAAATACCAATAGGATACTTATGATCAATAGTCCCATCCAAAATATCCTCAAACTCTGAGAAAGAAATAAATTGATTATCGGTGGGGATTTCATATAGTCTTTTGACAGAAGTATTCTGAAGTAGAAAAATCCTCCATTTATGATGAGTTGTTTTCTGAAACCAAAATGAATCATTTACAACAAAATCATGTAGAGTATGCCACTGTCCTTCTTGCAAAGCTTGATCATAATACGAAACCAACACAGGATTAGTCATCGAAGCTTGAATCTTGCATCCCTGTGATAATTTCAGTATCAATATATTAAGATGTTACCGAAAAATAATACTACTATGTAGTAAATAATAATAACTTACTTCTTCATCCACCAGAATAAATTCCAAACCTTCAATTCCTTGTGGACCAAGAGTTTCCCATTTTTTTAAAACCAATATTTTGATTTTCCAGTCCGATCTCCATGAATGCAAATCAGAAACTCGGTGATAGAGTTCCATGGTTAAAGGGTATGATGTGGTATCTAGGTTTTATACAACTGCAAAATACAATATATATAGGAGGCTTTAGGTTTATAGTAATATAGTAAGATTAATATGTCTAATAGAAACAGAATATATCGCATGGATATTTTCCAAGATCAGGAAAATATATTTATCATTTGAAATTTAGAAACTAAATATCTATTAATAAATTCATATATATTATTTTTGATTATAGATAAGTGATTTTTATTTATTGATGATACGATGGTACTATTTATATAGAAGTACAACGATATATATATATAAACTGTG